AACTTTGTTTGCAGAAATATTATGTACACATACACATACACGAAGAAAAACAAAAGTTCATATATATTCGAACTTAAGAGCTGGAGCTTGTAATGGAAACAGCCTTGTATGTATACGGAGGGAGTGTATGCTAATTGAAAACCATATACAAGAAATTAAAAAGTCAAGGAGGGATCAGACAGTGTTCCCAAGGCAGACCCACGCAGAGAAAATATAAGAAAATTAGGAGCAACGCCTAGACGAGGGGCATCTTCCTTCACTGAATCATAATAATAAAGACCAAAGCACGTTGGACCGACTTTGTCCCTCTTCTGCATCCATCTCTATCCTCTGTGCCCTCCCAGTTTCACACCCCAAACTTATCCCCTCTTCTTCAATTAATTACGCTGAAAATATAATATATAACACGCACTACCATTTCCTGACGATGACGATGAATTATGTAAAATCTGGAAATATATAGTTGTATTTTTCCTGCACATTAATCACGATAAACTATATATAAATGGTGACAATTTAAGTGATATATAGCTAGTCGGTTGGGGCTCAAGTCCCCAACCGCAACGTCTCTATTTGAGGGGAGTGAAATAAAAAAGAGACAGAGAAGGACCTTACACGTGCCACGATTGCTGTTGTATATATATCTATACATGTACACACGATGTGTGTACTAGTAGGGCCTCCCCTTCAGCTCATAGGTGTTTTTAAAAAGACACATTACGGATGCACACTCGTCGCCTCCTACAGTCTCTTGTGTCTTTAGCTTTAGCTCGTGCCTCATCCACTTGTCCATTTTTATTGATATACGTCGATCTTGTTTAATCTTACATATAATCACACCGATTCCTTCTGCTGACAATTCGGAATATCGGATTAACGAGTTAATCAGGACATGGTTAATTTAATCTGTGTGGAGACGGGAGTGGTTAGTTAGTCGTGAAGTGAGTGAAGTAGGTGTAGGAGTCATGATGCTCGTAATTACCGATTAATTAATTGGAAGGATCGATAGTCCTACCGGTCAATATGCTTGGAGCTTCATTAGCGTTATCGTTAACGCAAAATGTATCTCATTCATCTGGTCACACTCAGAATTCTAATAGCTACGACGCAGGTTTAATAGTTCCCGAGCACCAAAAGTACGTCTCTTTCCCTAAAAAGACAATATTTTGCCTTTTCATTTCAACATTCAATTTTTTTTTTTCATCCTTTCTTTTCCTTTATTCTATCTCCTTTCCCAGCATCCGAATAAAATATAGTAAGCTTTATGTCCCTCTGGCTCGAGGGAATTGGATTCTTCTCTTTTCCAATTGAGTTTTTTTTTCTTTTCTTTTCCTTTGGTAGTTATACTGATCCAAAATGTCTCTCGCGCCTTTTTATTTTTAACCTAATTTTCCAAGTAACCCTGTGATCATATTTATATGTTTGATTTCCATGGAAATATTAACATAAAGACTGGGACAAGAATATTGTAATTTCCAGTTACGAGACGATGTAACTTCTACTTTAATCAATCCTCTACTCTTTTAAGGATATTATTATAACTAGACGGCGCGACTACGTGATTTAATTAACTTCAGTACTAAAATTACAGTGCATACAAATATTATTGAATATAAAATAGACACCGTCGACAAATATCTATGTAACTATTTTTTTATTTAAGGGTAAACATAACTTTTAATATTTGTATTTTATTCAAATTTTGTTTTTGATCTCTATATTTTTTTTTTTGGTATTTTAAGTTTTTATACTTTTGTTTTGCATCATTTTCGATCCCTCTAAAAGTAAAGTATAGGGACTTTAAAATAATTCAAAATAATGAAAAGCAAAAACATAGGAATCTAAAATATAAAAAAAAGTATAAGAATCAAAAGTAAAACATGAGTAAAGTACATAAATCAAAAATTATGTTTAGTATTTATTTAACAATTTGATATACATCCAGTGCCATTGTTGAGTCAAATATTACGCAATTTAAATGTTAAAAAAACTATAATTATTTAGTTAAACAGACCTCTTGTGTTGAATGATAAGCTTGCAATTAAAGATTAATTGATTCTTTCAAAATACCTGATTCACTTATTCTAAACTTTTACCCATGCCTTGCCGCAGGTTAAAAAAAAAAAAAAAACTCACGTTCTAATTTTTGCCTAACCTTTGCAAATTGCAATTCAGGCAAGGCTTTGCTGGCTAAGATAGATGAATTTTGACTTAGTCATAGTTATAAACAATGTTTTAAATTAAGATATTAAATCTAGTTACAGAAAAATAATGACACGCGGTAAGAAAATAAAGGTGATGCATTGGTTAAGATGACCACAACAGAAACATTAAAAAACTATTGTCGAAATATATTTATTTATTTATTATTTTATTTGAAAGGCAATTTTATCACGCCTCGCTGTAAATATTTATACCGCGCGAGATTACTTTTTTATTGTGTGCGCGTGTTTTTTTTACAGCTATATAATACAGTATATACATTACACGAATTTAAACACAATTGAGTTTAAATAGCGGCATCTTTTACAGTTCTGTTCGTTATTTTGAAAGAGAATTTCAATAAAAACCCCCCAATCACACTTATTTAAATTTAAAATTCTTAAATTTTTAAAATTTTACTACATTTTAAAAATATAAATTTGATATTAAATTTTTTAATAAATGATAGAATTATCTTTCATTTAAGTTAATATCAAAATTGTTGTACTTTGAGTGTTTATTTACTTATAAAATGTTATTAATTATCCTATTTCACTTGCTCATTTTTTGAAATAAAATCAAGTAAAAGTCTGACAATAAAAAAGTGAAGTAGAATAATGAAAAACAGTTCATAAATAAATGAACAATGTATAATATAGGAATCAACAGGTTATCTTAGAATAATTTAAATATATAAAATAAAAATAAGTTAAGCAAGATGATGAATAAGTAAAGTAAAAAAGTTTTCATATTACTTTAAATGAGGGGCAATGTCATCATATCTTTAAAAAATTTAATATCAAATCAATACTCCTCAACTATTGTATAATTTTAAAAATTTAGAGTTTTAAATTTAAATAAGTGCAGTCAAATGATCTTCATTAAAATTCTCCCTTATTTTTATTCAAAGTACGGTAACATAGTTATTGAAGTTATATTTTTATGAAGTTTAACCTTTTTGTAGAGGAAATGAAGTTTGGTGATTTATAATGTATAAATATTTTGATTCATCTCAAATTGATTATCAAGGTATTGGATTCACTCTACTTGACAATACAAAGACATCAATTTACCATTTTATCTGGTAATACATATTTAATAAATAGATTATATTTTAGGAAATTATTTTCACATTAATCAAAGTTACTATGAACTTTCTAAGGTTTCATTAATAGTTTTATTTACAAAAATTATTAAAAAATATGTCATGTGATATATTATTAATGGTTAAATTCCATAGGAGAATTTTTTTTATTCACAAAAGTGCAAGTGAGTTGAGTCATTTATTACAGCATATTTTCAAATTTAAACAAGTATTTACATATTATTTGTTAATAAGGTCATATTCCTAGAAAGATTTGAATCTATAATATATGGATAAAATGAGATTTCAAGCCACAACATTATAAATTATGAATCAAATCTTTATTGATTGATTAACTTTTATTGGTTTTTATGTTAAAATGGACTGTGGATTCAAGAAAATGAAACATAGAATTTTCAAAATTTTAAAATATATTTTTTTATGCATAAAATTACCAGTTCTTACATTACCTCTCTCTTAACTTAATATAAATTTACCGTAGTATTTTGGTCTTGTTATTTCTGGTAAAATAATAGCATGCGAAATTAAATTTGTCTTTTGGCTCACCGCTCTTCTCATTGCGTCTGTATTTTTTTTTTTAAATTGACTTTTGGGTTAACCAAAGTTTATCAATATTTCACCATTTTGCTTTAATAAACTAGAATATTTAAAGTGTTATATTCTTAACTCTGCTAAGAAAGAGTTTTGTTACACGCTGGGTGATAAAATTTATGAAAAAAAAAAAATCCAGCCCAATGTAATTTGTTATAAACTTACGTTAAAATTCCTTTTACTCGGGGCGTAAACGTGTAATAGTCTGACGGTATTTGAAAAAAAAAAAAAAGAAAGGAGTTTGATTTGATTGAACAGTAATACAGGTACAACGTAATATATTTAGCGCCTTTTTTTTTTTTCTGGCGGGTAAGGGAAAGTGAAAAAAGGAGGGAATTGAAAAGGGAGCGAGGGGGAGAGGCCAAAAAGTTGAGAGATGTGACTTTAGATTTCAGAATGGAGACGGAGGATTTCAGTCGTCGCCGTATGTCTGCGAGTACACGTGTCACCACGGGATCACCTCTCACACTCTCCCTACTTCCATTCGTTTCTCTCTTCCCTCCTCTCATTTACCCATTTACCCTTGTCTTCTGCCCCTGTATTATCATTTATTTATTAATAACCCCACTTTTCTTTTTGTTCTTTTCCTTTTTTGGAGTTATTAATTATTCATTTATTCATTACATTTTCTCGCAAAATCCACTGCCCCAATACGATACGATCTTTCGGCCAACAACACCATACGATAAAGACCCATGTGAGCGGTGACAATAAGATGCATTTTCTCTTATGCTCCTACTCTATTCTTCAGCTGTCACTCGCGCGGTTCTCTATCTAAACGTTCTTCTTAGAATATCACATTTCTTCTAAATTTTCTCATAAAAATACAAATTAAATGTTTTCGTAAATTAATCAGCTAAGCTGTGAATACTATTGAAAAGCACCGCTTCTTTAATTTTTTAAAAAATTAAAAATAAATGAAATATGAAAAATGCATTAAAAGCCGACGTAAATTAGTAATTGCTCATCCCTGATCTCAACAGTATTCACCATCACGTCCCTGTAATTCTCGATTTCTAACTGGACGGGCCCTTATCTCTCTCTTGCTTTTACCCTAAGAGAAGCGCTCGTCTTCCTACATAAGGCCTTCCCCTTCGTCTGTCTTTTCAGCACGACTTTGAAAGAGCGCGCCACAGGGAGGCAATACATAAAGGACCGCTGCGCCTGCTCCTGCTCCTGCTTCATTCTCTGCTCCACACTGTTCTTCTTAATTCCACCACAGATTTTCATTTCCGCTCTTTGATCTCTCATCCGATATCTCTAAATCCGCATCTATTGTCTGCAAAAGATCCGCTCTCTTGCATCTGCAAGCTCCGTTTTTCTTTGAGAGATCTTTTTAAATCGAACGGAGAGAAAGAGAGATTTTGAGCTCCGGCAATGGCACCCAGTTTCGATTGCGTTTCGAGTCTTCTTTGTACGGAAGACAGCATCGTATTCGACGATAACGATTACGAGAGTGCGATGGGGGTGTCCCAGAATTCGCGGCATCAAACATCCCATCGACTTCACAATCCAGGCCTTTTCTTTGATGATGCAGCTGGGTTGCCATTGCAGAGCGATGAGTGTTTGGCGATAATGGTGGAAAAAGAATGCCAGCACATCCCTGCTGGCGATTACTTGAATAAGCTACGGACTGGTGTTTTGGACTCGGGGGCTAGGAAGGAGGCCATTGATTGGATTGAAAAGGTGGGTTCCAGGTCCTCACCGGGTCTGGCTTTGTTTTTCTTTCAAGCATGGCCATTTTGTGTTTTTGTCTATGTCCATATTGCCGTGGATTAACTCATTCGTTCCGACATCTTAACGCCCTTTTTTGAAATGGACTTAAACCGGAATGAAAGATTTACTTTCTGCCTGCGGAAGCGTTTCATTGCAACAGATTTGTACCCCATTCTTTGTTTCATGGTGATACCATCATTAAATTTGAGCTGTGTGGATGAAATTTATGGATTTTCCTTATATTTCAAGGTAGATTGGATAGATTCTGATGTTTGCATGAATCTGTTATCCGATTGTTCTTCGATGTGGCCTAATTGACTGAGGACTGTGCCTGTTGCATAGGTTCGTGCTCATTTCCATTTTGGACCTCTCTGTTCATACTTATCCATAAACTACATGGATCGCTTCCTGTCTCTATATGAATTACCAGTAAGTCAAGATTCAAGAAACGAAAACAAAATGAAGTACTTATTTTCCCTTGTTATGATCGTTACCGATCTTGATCTACTCTTCCCACATGTAGAAGGGAAAATCTTGGTCAATGCAATTGCTGGCTGTAGCATGCTTATCTCTCGCAGCCAAACTAGAGGAGAATGAAGTTCCCCTGTGTGTTGATTTGCAGGTAGGAACCAATTTTTGTGATGTCTGGTGTTTGTCAAGTTGGTCTTTTACTCGGATGAGTTGATCCTTGTCTTTCCTGCAGGTGGCTGAATCAAAATTTATATTTGAAGCTAGAACAATCCAGAGAATGGAGCTTCTCATACTAAGTACACTTAAGTGGAGAATGCAAGCAATTAGCCCTTTCTCCTTTATTGACCATTTCCTAAGCAAGATCAACGAAGATCAAATTCCGCTTAGAACTTCAACATCAAAATCTATGCAACTTATATTGAATACCGTGAGAGGTACCATCCTGTTTTCCTCTCAACTCTTCGTGCTGCACTGGTCAGTATCTGTAGTAACTAATGATTGATTGACATGGTGGGTGGAAATTAAATGCAGGGATTGACTCATTGGAATTCAAGCCATCAGAAATAGCAGCAGCAGTGGCAATATTTGTTGTGGGGGAAACCCAAACAGTTAATGCAGAGAAAGCTATCTCTGTTCTTTCTCAACACGTAGAAAAGGTATAGCTGCTGCTGATGGTAGGAGTCAAGTAACAAGAAAGTGAATGTGAAATGAAATGATGGTTTCGCTTTTTCAGTCTTATCATTTTAGTGTTGATTACTTTGTAATTAATTGGTAATCGGAAATCGAATTCTTATGTGGCAGGAGAGAGTCTTGAGGTGTTTTAAAGTGGTCCAAGAGCTGTCATCAAACAGCAGCATCATCAGCTCTTCTGGTGCTTCTGTTCCTCGAAGCCCAATTGGGGTGTTGGATGCGGCATGCTTGAGCTATAAAAGTGATGAAATAGACGGTTCATGTTCAAATTCTTCACATAATAATAGTCCGGATGCTAAAAGGAGGAAGCTAAACAAAAACTGTGCAACTGATCCATAACAGTGTTGCTTTTCTTAAATGGGGATTTTGTGTTTTATGGAAAGTGATTCTCCCCTCATTAGGAAAAGCAAACAAGGACGCAGAAAGAAATGAATAGTAAAGAAAGGAAAAAAATGAAAAAGAAAAAAAAAACTGAGCATGAAGAAGGATACGTAAAATAAAAACTGTGGCTCATGGGGGCGACGATGGAAGATAAAAGGAATAGAAGAATCATTGAATTAAAATAGTTCATGCTCTTTTAGTATGAAGTTGAGCATGCCAGTAGCTGTTAAATATTTATACTCCTTAACAGCTAGACACTTGAGGAAGTGAAGGAGCCACAAGAAGAGGGGTATAAATAAAGAGTTTTGTCTGTGCAAGTACAGCTTGTTAAAGCCTAGGTCCTAGTATTTTTGTTTAATATTTATTCAATTATATAGCGGAACAGGAGGGGAAGAAACAAAGGGAGAAGAAGGAATCGAAGCAGAGCGTATCGTAGTACGGTGAGATATATTTCTGGGGAGATGTTTTATTAACTTATTTTTTGTTATGGTCGATATAATGCTATATGTCATTTATTCTTATTTTATTCTTTCTTCCTTAAGTGTCACAGCTTTACAGTAAAAGTGAATGCTTAAGTTTACTAGGGTCCCTATGTGCAAACGGTCAACAATATGGTATGACTCTTTGACTGCCTGACTGACCTGTCGGGCCAATAAGGTTATTTGGTGGTTATTAAAAAGAGAATAGAGCCACGTTTTCCACGTGGGCTGACTGATTGGGTCAGGACAAAATAAAAGCAAACTTGATTTTAAGTCCACCTTGATATGTGCTTCCTTCGCCTCGAATTGGATGTACTTTTTAGCGGTTTCATAGCCCACGGGCCATAGCGAACACTGCTGATGAGTCTACACGTCCAGATAATTCCTCCTGTCACAAATATGGTCCTGCTCCATTTCTAAACATAAGAGAAGCTAGAAAAATCACAATCTTTAATTCTAGCACTTTACTCAAACTTTACTACAAGTTTTTGAATTTATTTTTGGTGTCCCAAGTATTTGTACTTTACTTCGTCTGAAATGTTGGTCCTTGCATTATTAGAAGGATGTTGACATGACACAAATTATATTAATAATGTTTGTATCATTTAACACGGTTAGTTTTTTGCTCATGTGGTAAACTAATGCTGGTGTGAGTTTTTTTCATTTAAAAAAGCCTACATACACTGACCTGAACCACCACCGCTCGGTCTTTGCTCAAAACACATGAAGTACCCCACCCTCTTCTGTGACCAAAACACTTGGAAAATGACGCCGAAGAAGACTACGATGGGTGATGAAACTTCCTTAAGCCGAAACTCAGGTTGAGCTGAGCAAATTTTCTGTACAAGCTTGAGCTAACCGTAACCTGATTATTTAATGCAAAAGTCACCCACCCTCCTCTGCTTATCGTTTTCAGTTTTCATAAAAATAAAGACAAATCCCATAAAGCCAAAAAAAAAAAAAACTCGAGATTTCATAAAAGCTGGGCTTTGGCTCCCATTTTTGCCCAAATCAAGAAAACAAGCGCCCCGGGGGAAAGGTAGGGGGCGACAGGGTACATGCATAAAGAGTTATAACTTGTCAAAAGCAGGTATAACCTGTTGAAACACAAACAAAGAATTACAAAAGCAGGCATAACCTATTGAAACACAAGCAGAGGATTACAAAAGCAGGGTATAACCTGTCAAAAGATATGCCCATAAATATATGCCAAAAATATAATGGTGTGGATTTCAGTACAGCGAGTCAAAATACAACAAGGCTTTTGAACATATTATAAAAGCAAGGTGACATTTCCGGTGCCGTCGAAGGCTCTTTTCTGGCATCGTATTAGTGGGATCTCTCCCTCTCATGTGGTCTCGATTGTAGTCAATGATATTTGTGCCCCGGATAGAAAATGAGGGTTTTGAGCGTTTTACTTGACGCGTTGAGAGTATAATTTTCTGCGTTGAGGGCGTTTTAGTTTGTGGTCAAGGTTCGCACATGATGTGGGCTTGTATTTTTTATTTTTGTTCATTCAAAAATTCACATCAGTATGAGTTTGCCACAAAAGCAAGAAGCTAACCGTATTAAATCACACATCGACATTATTAACACTCTCTGTCAAGTTAACTTTCCTTTAGAAATGTAGGGGCTAACGTTTCAAATGGAACAAAGTGTAGTGACTTGAAATATTAAAAAAAAATATAAAAACTTATAACAAAACTTAAATAAAGTGAAAGAATTTAAAGTTATGTTTTTAAGAGAAATTATTGTGTTTTTCTTATTTTTTTTATAAGTAAAATTACAAATTTCAATAAACATTTATCACATTTTTTTAAGTTATCCCTCATAAAGTCAACATTTATTTTCACTAGACAAATTTGTAATTAACTATAGAAATAATTTAATCCAGTTTTTAAATTTTTTAGATATAACTATTACAATTAATCAACTTTCTCAAATAGTGTGATTGGTAATTTTTTCTTCTATTTGGAAACCAAAAGAATACTCCTTAATTTGCTTTTTACAAAAATATCCTATTTCTTTCTCCTTGTTTTTTTTTAATTATGAAAAATTGACTATCTAGTTAGTGGAAGGTGTTTATGGGATAAATGAATTGATTCATTTTGGACCAATCCTAGCCTTTTCAGGTGTGTTGTACTTAGGACTGGAAGAAATAAAAAAGATGTGAAGCGGAATGCTACCAAACCAGTATTTTCGCCATCGAGAGTCAGCATTTTGTCTGCGCATTCTCCAGCTCTTCCCGGGTTGGATGGATCATGGTATTCATCATCATCAACAACAACGACATCCATAATAATCGCAAATCTTGGCACAATTCAGCGGGCGAGAAGAGCTCCGAGAGAGTTTGAATTCTCAGCGTTATTTTTTCCCAGTTAAGTACAACTCATTCTACATCTACCTGACACCGTTGAACAACATTTTATTTATTAACAAAAAGAAAATTGCTTCGTCCATATCTTTAGAAACGAGCAAGAGGTAGGAGGCAAGGAAGAGAGGGACAGTCCAACTATATTCACATTTTTTGATTGGTTACATATTCCAGGCCCCTGGAAGTGGGTAGGGCCTTTTTCCGTCATGGTCTGAGCAAGATTTGAACTTTGAAACCCGAGAACTCCAATCGGGTCAGCTTAGTTGGATCTTTCTTAACGGACTCCCCAACGCTCACCGCACCTAGCCCTTTGTTTAACGCTTTTGGGCCCATAAAAGCGCCCCTTCTTTACTAGCTGAAATTCTGTTTGACGATCGATTTGTCCCGCAAAAAAAAAATGCAAGCTTAAAAAAAAAAACATAACTTTGAACTTCACTCAATTTTTATTATTAATCCCTATACTTATTTTCAGTATTATAGGTCTTTATAATTTTATTTTTCGACATTCTAAGTCCTTATAATACTGCTTATGTAGGAACATAAGATACCAAAAAATAAAAGTGTATGATCCATAACATTAAAAAAATACAAGAATCTATAACAAAACTCGAGCAAAGTATAATAATTGAAAATCATGTTTTTATAATAAGAAAATCACCACTGTAATTTTACAAGTTTGGTACATTTATTGGCTACGAATAATTGCTTTCATATTGTCAACATCCACGTTTCTAAAATAATTCATGTGATTTTAAAGTTTAGCAAAAACAGACACTGCTTGTACAAAATGATACTTAAATTAAATTTTAGAAGACTCTCATAACATTTGATTATTATTAAAAGTTGAATGTGGAATCGGAGCCAAAAAAAAAATTGTATGGACACCAAAATGGCAAAGCGTATATAAAAACTAAAGAAAGGTTATGTATATATATATATAACTGACACAGCATAAATATTTATATGTGTGTGTGTGTGTTTATATTTAATTTTATGAATATTATATATATATATATATATATATACTTTTATTTTTAAAGTTTTGTTGATCAGTTTTTTATGATATAAATATTATTGGTTATCATGTCTAAGACAAATTTTTTTAGCAACTTATTTTTTTAATATAAAATATCATTAAGTTGGTAAAAATTTTATCTTCCCTTTAAAAAATGAATGATTTAAATATATAATTGAGATTTAAAGTTCTTTTCAATTTAAAAAGCTTTATTATTTACTTATTGAATTTATTATTTAATTTTTTTAATTGATAATTGTGATAAATAAATATATCAATAAACATGACAATGATGCTCAATTGTTACAAGATCTCTATATCAATTATACTTGTTTATTGCAAAGTTTGATAAAGTTTATTAATAATAATTTTTTTCATTTCTTTCATTAAGTATAAAATGAAAGCAAAATTGAATAACAACAATACTTTAAGAGTATGTGTAATATTTTTTTATTGAAAATAAATAAATTTTATGATAATTATATTTTTAAATTATATAATTAAAATAAAAATTTTATTTAGTATCTCAAAATTTTTATAATATATTGTTAATTTAGGAGAGGTGAAAGTATATAAACGCCATATTTTATTAAAAAAAATAAAAACATTATGCGGCACTCTCCTTTGTCCACCCCGGGGACGCGTTTTCAAGTGAATGATTTATGTGGGTTACATGAAGCTCCCTTCTCTCTCTCTTCCTCCACTTAAAGCCAGTGTTTTTGAAACCCATCAGATATTAAATGGAAAAGATCAACGGTTCATCATTTATATAGTTGAATCGAATTAAATTAATAGTTAAACTGATAATATAATTAAATTTAAAAAATTATATATATAATAATTTAAATATAAAAAATAAATATAAATTATTATTTAATTTTAAAAAATTAAATATTTTAAATTTATTTTGACCTAACAAGTTACATGATATAACATAATATCAAATGCTTAAAAAATTAATTATTTTTTTAAAAAAATTAAAAAATTATAAAAAATTTAACAGTTCAATTTTTAAAAACTGAATTCATGATCTGACTATCAATTTAAAATAACTCAATCTGATTCAATCTCTAAAATAATTTTTTTATATGAATTAAACTAAAATTCAGACCGATCTGACCGTTGGTTTTAAATTCACTGCTTAAAACTTGCTACTCGAGAAAGCATGTGGTAAATTCACCAGTGGGAAAGTTTGACTGGAAAGTAAAACTGTAAGATCATAGGAAGTAAAAACAGAAGACAACACGCGGCAGCAGCCGAAAGAATCAGCGCAAAATAAGCACAAAAACAAAAAAAGTTGCATAAGACTCCAATGAAACACACGCCAGAAAGCTCGTCGGTCACGCATTTGCGTCCGCAATAGCCGCTGGTAGCGGGCCCCGCAACTCCCCACCACACGCGTCAACATCCCACTGGCTGTGAGCTCCAACACAGGGCACTAATAAAACCTAGGGGTTGGTGGGGTCGTACAAGAAGCGCGTGCTAGGTGCATGGGTCTAGCCCATTTAACAATAGTTTGACCCGAATCACTTTCTCATCGAACCGCGAGCCGAAGCGTGCGCCAATGCATGCGTGAGATCCCGACGGTGATGCGGTGCGTATCGATGCAGATACCACGCTCATCATTTGTTGCTCTCGCCACGTGTGAGGCGCTTCCTGTGCGTCCGATCCTCATCCCACGGGCATCACGCGTGCCACGTGTGACGGGGTTTAAACGAGTTAAGAAGATAAAGACGGCGTGTCTGACTTTTTTTTTTCAGTTTTTTTTTTGTTACTGCACACTGCTGCTTCTCACAGTGCCGGAGATTTTGTGGTCGGACGTCGCAAGATTTTCTTCCTTTATTTTAATGTCATGTAAAGGAATAGTTGTATTTGGTGTCCATT